GTCTGAAAATAAGCTGCTTTAAAGTCAGCATCGACCATATATTACTTAACATAAAAAGTGTTTCTTATATAAATGGTGAACTTTAAATTTATGATTAAATGCAACAAAATAAATTTAAAAGGTGAAAGATAATAATAATAATTGCCCTGCCCCTGAGCTGTTGGCTTTAAGTAACTGAGCAGTTTATTTGGATAGCAGAGTATTAATGTCTCAAAATACATTGCTTTAAAGTCAGCATCAACCATAAACCAAATCTGCCATAATGCATACAAGCTACTCACTAGAAACTCATCAGTTAGTAAAACTTTATTAGTTTTACTTTTAATTATATTCCAGAATTTATTTCAGATTTAGTCAGTCATACACTTAGTTCTTATCAGTGTTTAAAAGAGGATGAGTTAAAACACTGTTTAGTCAAAGTTAAACATGAAACGTCAAAGTTAGTTACAACTGGCCCTTCGAGGGCCACCATAATGCTCATGTGGCCCTCAGTGAAAATGAGTTTGATATCGCTGGTCTAAAACATTAAATAGATTAAATAAACTTCAATATATTAATATTATTTATGTTAATATTATTATTAATAGTTTTAATGATTTCTACATTGTCAGCCTTTTTTCTGCTCTGTTGCCAAAATGTCCAGTAATAGTAAATCCAGACTCTTGACCGTTTAGCTTTAGCCCTTAGCTTCCACATCCGATCACGTGCTCACGTGGTTTCTGAGCGCTCCGGCTGTTCTATATAACCTCCTTGAACCAGACTTTCAGTTAATCATCTCACTCCAAACACTGCGGATTATTACTCTTTGATGAGTCAGAAACAAGTAAGATCATCTGTTTAAACTTTCATTTTTATTTATTTAATGTTGGGGCACTAATCTAACAAACACTAAAACATGTAAACATAAAGCAGGTGTAAAACATGAAGCAGGGGTAAAGCATAAAGCAGGTGTAAACATGAAGCAGGTGTAAACATGAAGTAGGTGTATACATGAATCAGAAGTAAACATAAAGCAGGTGTCAACATGAAGCAGATGTAAAACATAAAGCAGGTGTAAACAAGAAGCAGGTGTCAACATGAAGCAGATGTAAAACATAAAGCAGGTGTAAACATGAAGCAGATGTAAAACATGAAGCAGGTGTAAACATGAAGCAGATGTAAAACATGAAGCAGGTGTAAACATGAAGCAGATGTAAAACGTGAATC